TGTGTCTGAACCATCGACAGAAATATACTGGACATCTCCTTTCCATAGGCTCCAATATCACATTTTTGAAGACAAATGGAAGGTGGCCACCACCGCCATTTTGACCGTGTCACAGGTTCCGTCAAGCCCAGACAATTCCACAAAAGGGAAGAGAGGAGGAGCTGAGGGTGGGGCTGTAAGGCTGGGATCAACTGACGTCACCCGGGCGAACTAGCTACAAGCTAACCTGAAGCTAACCCTGGCTAACCCAAAGCTAACACGGAGGTGGGAGCTAAGCTAACGGAGGTAGCAACCTAGCTACAACCAGATTTAACTGTGCACAACACCAGAGCTTCTGAGTCAAAGATACGCCGGGCTGACCGCTGGGTAAAACTGGGTGGAACACAGAGGTCTCCGAGACCTCCACAAGCCAGCAGCCGCACAGCAGACAAGCGCCGCTGCGATCTGAGATGCGCAGAGCTGCCGCTGGGAAGAACCGGGTGGAAAACATCGGTTTCCATCAGAGAGCTCCACAAGCCGGCAGCCCGCGCAGCAGACAGGAGCCGTGGCGATCAGAGATGCGCCGAGCTGTGGGGAGGGTAGAACCGGGTGGAAAACAAGTCTCCCGAGAGCTCCACAAGCTGAAAGTTGGAACCCAGCTCCACCAACATGTTATATTTCAACCCATTTTCTAAAGTGCAGCATTATGTTAAATGCACTGGGTTTTACCCTATTACATTTAAATTTCATGGTTAAACAGTACATGTTAAAATCTAAGCTCAGCTCGGCAGAGACCTAAAATACATAAATATAATTTTACTTACCGAAAAAATGAAGTGGAGACTCCTTGGACGCTCTATTAGTGCAATTAATGCCACAGCAAGTCATTTTGTCCAACAATTGCACAAATAATATCCAAAAAAGAATGCAAAAACGCTACAACTACTGGTCTAATTTCGAGACTAAAAATCGCGGAACAGTTTTCAGGCGAGACCGAGGCTCAGACTGAGGCCTTTCCCCGGAGCTATCTCTGTGGTCACGTGGGTCTGATGCTCATTAATTATACAGAATTTTAGGCTATTAATACACTTAAACAGAAGAGTGAGAAAAAAATCACCCCCCTCAGAGTTGTCATGAGTGTAAACTAGATCATTTAAACCAAAAACATGTTTTGGTACCAGGCTGTAAACATGTTTATTTCTGCTTTGAAATTGGTATTTTTAACATGGGAGTCAATGAGGATTTGCTCGCTTCTGACACCAGCCCCTAGTGGATGAGGGTGGAACTGCAATTTAGTTCACTTCCGCATTGGCTTCAATTTCTGTCCCGCATTGTGGGGGCTTGTACCGGACATTTTCAGTAAATACTAATTAAGGAAGACAGTGGTAATAAGGAGTAAATATAGTTTATGGTTTTTAAAACTGTTTCAAGCCCAAAATGGGAGTCTTGACAGGTGTGATTCTGAAATTGTGAATGAACTCAGTCAATAGTCTTTTCGCATCACAACTCCACACAGACATGGACCAAACTAAAACAACAACCGTGAGGTTTTGCTTCAAAAGCGACACAGAAAATGAATCAGTCATGTGAATCAGGCGAATCGAGGCTTCGTTTGTGATCAGTCACGTGGGTTTCTGCGAGGCTTTCTCGAAGCAGGGCATCGTGGACAAACCCCCTTCCTTCTTGACAAGCCTCGAAGCCTCACGCTTCACTAGTCCCATCACTAGTACCTACGGCTGCTAACGACATCACCTGCTCTGAAAAGACTGCAGTGGGACACCACTCTGGTCCAAGGAGGACCACAGCTCTGGCGCCTCCAGTGAGCAGGAACTTTGGAGCTGTTTAGCTCGGGTGTGCGTGTGCGTTGCGCACTTCTGGCATGCATCTGAATGGGACTGATTGCTCTCTTTGAAAATTTATTTTGTTTATTTTTTACTTATTTTAGACAGCTTGCAACTCCTGTCTGGTGAAATAGCACTGTCCATCAGTTTCTTTATAATTCGTTTCGCCAACTGCTTGTTGGTTAGTTGACTTGTTTTTAACTTTTTCTTTCTTTTATATCAGGCTGTTTGCTCCCAGCGGCGTACCATCGACTTCAGTGGCGGGAGTTTTCCACGTGTGTGTGTGTGTGTGTGTGTGTGTGTGTGTGTGTGTGTGTGTGTGTGTGTGTGTGTGTGTGTGTGTGTGTTCCTTCACTGTGAACCTCCTGGGTGCATAACACTGTGACTGGGGTGGTTTTAGTTTGGTTTGGTTTGTATTTTTGCTGGTCGAGTTGGACCCTGGACTTTTTCCATTTTTTTTCCCCTTCTATTTTGATTTGATGTATAAAACCATGTTATTAGTCAGGCCACATCTCCTGCCTGATGTGGACCTGTGTGTCTTTATATCCTGGGGTGCAACTCCCTAGGTGGCGTTGTGTACAATTGTCAGCCTGCAACTCGAACTCCCACATTTTCATTTCTCAAATAATAATAAAGAGACATTTCAATGCTGTTGGTCATTCTGACAGACTTGAATTACCCGCCACATGTGGGTGTGCAGACATTTTAGGTCACGCACAGAGAACAATGCAGAGGTAACAAAATTAATCAAGAAAAGACTCCCATCAGAACATGTGAGCATTATCTCAGACTTGGACATCATGATCAGCACAGCTCGCTATCAGCCCACTGAGGAGCCATGGTGAGCTGCTCGGAGCGCATCGGTGGGTCACAGGCCAACAGCAGAACCAGAACGCGGGAGGTAAAAGGTTCCTACTTTAAGAGAAATAATTTAATTGTGACATTATGATGCTGGGCACGCTGGTCAGCTTGTTTAGACTAAATATTAACGACAAATGAAAATTAAACAGTGATATTAATTCATGTATGTGTATAAGAAATGAAAATGACAAGAGGAAATTATCATAACAGTTTTATTTACTCTGTCGGTAAAAATAAAAACAAAGCGACTAGCGTGACTTCTGAATGTAGGTATTGTTTCTATACCTGCTTGTAACTTATATTGATTATAACTTGTTTAATTAAGGCCCATCCAAAACTGAAACCTAGTGCAACGTCTGAGTTAGTGGACAAATGTTTTTGGACGGCTACTTTTTACTTTTACTTTATTATAAATATGTTGAAGTGGTGCTCCACTTATATTTTCGGCAGTAATGAAACGTCTGCGCTCCATTTGTTGACTTTGAGGTCGTAGGGATCTATGTTGTTGATTTTTCTGAACACACCTATCCCTATCCTCCTTCACAATTTTATTCCTGTAAGGAATGCATTCATCCATGTTCTTTGTATCCGTCCTTTTGACTCTTGATCTGCTTCAACTTCAGCTGCGGCTTCCCCTAGGAACGCGAGTCATACACCTAAAATGGCACTGAGGGGGTGTGGTTTACATGCAGGTAACATGTCTGATAAAGACCGATACCGTGGATAGCTGCTGCTATCAATTGAGCTCTTTGTAACAAGTGCTCTCCATCTCCATCAGCATGGGCATGCATTTGCTGCATGTACACCAGTGATTGAACCCCACTCACTCCAATGACTGGGAATTTTCTTCGCTACTCACTTGCCTCTCATCCCGGTTTCACACTGCAAGCATCAGCGGAACAAAACAGCAGCGGAGCGGCTCACTCGCGAACTTCAAAGCGGCCCTTTTCACACCGGGAGGGTCTTGGCCGCGGCACGGCTTCCTCGCTGCACCTCGCTGTACCCGCGAGATTCTAAAACCCCTCGAGACTTCCGACACCTTCCTCATCGAGAGATCACAATCCCCGCGAGGAATCACACCGTTGCACTTCTCGAAAGAAACCAGTGGTAAACACAGTCGTTCGGTCACACGTACTGACATAAGTTATAAATAACATTGCAACGTTGCATTTTATTTTGAAAATAACTGGGAATTTTACACTGAAACCGTGTAGTTTCCTGTCTCGCACTATGTGAACTGCGGAAAATGGCGTGTCCCAGAAGCAGCTCATGGAAAAAATAGAACTCAATCCTATCTTTTGCGACGCAGCATGTCGCTTCTGGGATGCGCCTGGAAATTGCCGCGTCGCGGCTTGTTTGAAACACTTCATAGACTAAAATCGGATTTTATTTGAAGCGGTGCCGCTTTGCTGCCGTTCCGCTGATGCTTGCAGTATGAAACTGGAGTCAGGTTCAAGTTGGAAAGGCTGAACTGACGCCCACTGCACTGTCAGCCGTGTGAACCAGATAAGTAGTCCAACCATGTGATGTCACTACCCAGAATATATACATATATATATATATATTAGGGATGGACAATAAAGGCTGATGTTAGTCATTTTTTAACATATCGGTATTGGTCAGATAAACAAAATTTAGCGGATATTACCAGCTGATATTTTTTCCATCTCGTCTCCATTTGTTTGAGTGTTTCAGAGGGTGAGCGGGGTGATGTGTATTTGTTTAGTCATGTGACAGAGTAATCATCTCAAAAGCGTAAACGTGTGTGGTGTGTGCACAATAATGTAAATTCAGCTTTAATAATTTTTATTCTGCTGATTTTGAAAGCATTAATGTCAGTATATCGGTATGGGCAAATATCGGATATCGGCCATAACAGTGATTTTGATATCGGCATCGGCCCAAATATTTCATATTTGTGCATCACTAACATCTATCTATCTATCTATCTATCTATCTATCTATCTATCTATCTATCTATATAATATCCTCCCCATTTCAGTTTTGCCATTTTTATTCATATAAATCTGACTCCAAATGTGATGATTTTAAAATAAATTACAAAAAACTAATTTCAACTAAACATCCAGTGATATATCAATATTGTTAAAGTTTCATGTAAATCCGTATAAAACATTCCAGTGTTTGTTTCTGTGAGATAGAGTACCTCACTTACGTTTTTACAATGAAAGAAAGTTTATATTTTGGATTAGTACTTCAAGTTCTCACTTGGTGTCGTTCTTATCCTGACCATCAGGTGGCGGTAACACGTTCATTGTTCTCCGAGCGCCAACCAAAACCAAGACGAAGAAGAAGTAAAGGACTGTTAGCAAACTTAGCTTGTTGTATGAGGTGAATATTGAGTCTCTGGGTTAAACATGTATTCAGGAGAGTCTCTGATGGAGTTTGTCAACAAGCAAGTAGCTACTGCTAGAAAACTCATCAGGAAGGTTGAAGAAGCCTTGGCCCAGATCGAGGAAGGGCTCGGTGGTCAGCGCAGACTGTCGGATATGAGCTGGGAACCACAGAACCGCTTGCACGGAGCAGGTAAGAAACACCAGCGGGACTCGTGCAGAGACGGAATGGGACAATAATTTAGCCCAGAGCCGTGTCCTGTTATTATTTAAGGCGTGTAGAAAGCTGCTTTCTTGTGTAGATCATCTCCAGCAAGCGGACCTCAGTTTTCTGACTGCCTTCTAGCCAGCCGTCTTTCGATTTTTATGGGCGCAACTACAAGAGAAATTACGGTGTCCTCGTTATAGAGTGCCTTTCAAAATAAAAGCGCTCAAAACACATTTCAAAATTTGTGTAAAATTGTGTCTACAATAAAACTGCGTTTTATGATTTTATCTATTTAAAAATACTTTTAATTCAAATAATGAACACAAAATAAACGTGTTTGTGTAAAATTGTGTGCAAAATAAAACAGTTTTTTATGATTTTATCTATTTAAAAATACTTTAAATTAAAAGATTAACCACATTTGTCTACTTTGCAATTTTTATCCCTCCCCTCCCTTTCATCCTGATCGGATGTGGCATTTAAAAAAAGTGAAAGTTATTGACAATTATCACTAAATTCAATGGTTTCATTCTCAAAAACGGTCTAAATGAAGTGCAAATTTAACTATAAAGACAATTTTCACCATATTCAATGGTTTCTTTCTCAAAAACTGTCTAATTCCACGTCAGTCTTAAAGTACACACCGACTGCTAAATCCTCCCCAACTTTCATAAGGATCTGATGTGGCATTTCAAAATAAAGTGCAATCAAGTATGACTTTAGAGACAATATTCACTATATTCAATGGTTAATTTCTCAAAAACTGTCTGATTCGACAACATCTTTCCACCTCAGTCTTAGAGTACACATCGAGGAATACATCCTCTGCAAATTTTATTAATACCTGATGGTACATCAGAAATTTTGTGAGGATGTAGTCGTCTATGTGTACTTTAAGGCAGATGTGGAATGATGTTGCGGAATCAAACTGAGAAATCAGCCGTGGAATATAGTTAAAATTGTCATTACTGACTAGTTTCATTGCACTTTATTTTGAAATGTCACATCAGATCTTTATGAAATTTGGGGAGGATGTAGTGCTCAATGTGTACTCTAAGACTGAAGTGGATTGATGTTGTGGGATGAAACAGTTTTTGAGAAATTACCATGGAATTAGTAAAAATAGTCATTAATGACTTTTGATTGCAATTTATTTTGAAATGCCACATCAATCAATCAATCAAAGCTTTATTTATAAAACGCCTGTCGGGAAGCCCAAGGCGTTGAACATGGTACATGAGAAATGTGAAACATGATGAATAAATTGAAAATAAAAGCAATTCAAATAGTGCAAAAAAGGTAAAATATTAAAGTAGAAGACAAATGGGTAAAACAAGGGATAAAGAGACCAATGAAAACAGGGAAATTAAATCAACATAAAAGAGGGCCAAATTCAAACACGTTCAGGGAATGCCATGTCTACTAAATTTGTCGGGGTTGTTAACATTGTATCACTCACTGATTGAACCATATTTATTTTATTGTTTAGAAATTTGGGGAGCCACTTGCAAAACTTTTACACAACCATTGTTCATGTTGCAAAAAAGAGCATTGCGAATCATTAACAACAGTAACTATAGAGATCACACTAATCAATTATTCATTAGATACAAAATACTGAAATTTCCTGACTTGGTAGAGTGGAAAATATTGCAAATAATGTACAGAGCGAATACGAGTAATCTACCAACTAATATTCAGAAAATGTTTCATAAGAGAGTAAGTGGGTACATGTTAAAAGGAACTGATGTCTTTAAAGAGCAAGTAATGTCTAAATTAACTTTTTTTGCTGATGAACTGTATAAATGAGTGTCTAATAGTGTTTTAAATGTGTGCATTCTTTATTTTAGCATTTTGGTGCATTTTCTTTAAAAATGCTGCCTAAATACCACAGTATAGCACCATCTTCAGCTTAAAACATAGAATTTGACTCATTTTGAATAAATTTTAGCCAATGGCTAAAGAGTAAGATACTACGTAAACCAGTAGAGTACTACGTAGCAGCTCTGTGTGAACGTTATAAAAGCAACGAGCGTCTCGGCCACGCCTTGTGGCGAGTTGGGAGTTGGATTTGCAAGAGAGCGTAGGAGGTTAGCGGTAGTTCAGCCTTAGCATATAGCGTTAGCATATCCTAGTCTTTAGCATAGCTTTTAGTGTTAAAAATACTTATTTAGTGTTAGTTTGGCTGTTGGATATTGTAGTTTAGTTAGCGTTTGGCTGTTAGTGTAATTGGGAAAGTAGTTCGGGTTTAGTGCTCCATATCGTGTTAGTATTGGTGAGTAGGTGTAGTGTAGTATGGTTGCGGAGCTCTGTGGGCATTTTACCCGCGATTCTGCACGTCTCCGTTTTAAGAGGGAGGCTGTGCCCACCGTGGCTCTTCCGCGATTTAGATGCAGCCCACCGACTCTGCTCCCCCACCACGGCGGGCTCCAGTCTGAGGTGAGTAAGCTAAATAAACATTTTAACATCTTCTAAAGACAATTTCCTACCTAAATGCAAAGTCCGAGAGACGTGGTTCACTTCCTTTAGCTAGTCAGTCGGTAATTCTGCAACAGTGTCTCTTAACTAACGCAGCACTAGTTGACAAGACAGCATTACAGCGTGAAATCCAGCTTGTGACCCGATTCTGTGAGGAATTCTGTTCAGGTCACATTTCAGGCTCTCCACATCATGTGTGACTGACTTTTACGTTATAACAACGATCACACACTAGGAATGTTATAAAGCGCCTTTATAGGACAGTTTCTTTTGTATTTTATCTGACTTTATAAACTCCCAACAACAATGTGCTTCTATTTTTTTTTTCAGGCTAAATCTACCCAAGACATTGGCTGTCAGACTGATTTAGCTGCAAGAATGCACTTGTCCAGGCTGACATGAAGCCTTGCCGGCGTAGCAAATGTGAATTCTTTTTAATAATCTTCTATGTAAACATTTTATTATTACCTTCTAGTTTTAATTTGTTTTACAGATTATTGTTACACGTGATTTTATGCTCTTTTAAACATTTATAAATGTGCTGCTTCTTTGTTTTTACATTGCCAGCCAGAATGGAGTTCACAGCTGCAGTGTGTCTTGTGACACAGGGACCATGATGGAAATTCATCTTCCAGAAAGGCCCAGAGCAACGTCCACACCCCTGAAAAGACCCAGATGTGAGGTGTCTGCTGTTGATTCCAGCTTCCACCTCAGTGACAGTGCAAGCTCAGTGAACTGTTCAAGGTAAAAAAAATTAAAACATTTCAGAATTTTTAAGACATTAACAATTAAATAAGTATGTGATTACATCATGACATCATGAAGGAGGCTACTAATTCTGGCCCTGTGACACTTGGTGGTGACTAGGGTTGTCACGGTAACCGGTATAGCGGTAAACCCCGGTAAAAAAGTTGACAATAAAAATAACCGTCCAGTTTTTAAAAAACTAAATTATCTCGGTGGGTTTACCGTGGCCGCGGTTTAGGCGCGGTGACCCTTACCAGCCACCGTTGCTTCTGCTGAAGTTCCCGCGCACACGCACTTTTTAGTTTGCAACCAAAACTTTGAAGCTGAAATAATGGCCGAAGGAGGAGACGGCAGCGCCCAGGACATCCATCAGCCCTCAAAGAAGACTAAATCGGAAGTATGGGCATATTTTGGATTTCTGAAAAATGCTGAGGGACAATTGATAGAAGACGGCTATCCCGTTTGCAGAACGTGCAGGAAACAAGTGTCTGCAAAAGGCAGCAACACTTCGAATCTAATGGCACATCTGCGTGACCATCACCCACGTCTCTACAGCCAGTGCAAGGTAAGTTAACATTAGCATTTTAGCTTAAATGCATGACGTGAGGACTTTTGGCTGAGGGAGAATGCAACGAGTCACTACATACTGCAGCCGCAGCGTCCTCTGCCAGCATTTAAACCGTGTCACGGACACCCTGTTGCTGGATGAAGCATCTTATTTGTTGATGATGAAGAGAAATATACAATTAGTTCCTTGTCATTGATTTGTTTACTTATTCAATGCCATTTATACTTGAACATTTGGATTTGATTACATGGTGTAGTAGTTATTTTAGTCATTTGTTTAAAGTGGCTATTTATTTTAAATACATATTTTTTAAGGTTGACTTGTACAGTGCTCAAGTCAAGTATGGACTGGAGTTTTAGATTTTCATTTTGATAATGAAGAAAACAAGTGTATGAGAAAACAAGTGGTGTTTCTTTGATTTGTTTACATATTGTTTATGTTTTGAATGTTTGGATTTGTATAATTTAAACCTGCACTGACTACTGTAACATGTTCCAGAAAAAGAAGCTATTTGTTCCTTTACTTGTGAAAAGTTGCACTTTTGCTAAGGCTTTGTGTAATTTTAGGTTTAATAAACACTGTTAAACCTTTTCAAAACTATTTTAGTTTGTGTAGAACAGGACTATCAAAGCTTTCTGAACATATGCAACACCGTTTAATAAATACCGCGATAATACCGAAAACCGTGATAATTTTGGTCACAATAACCGTGAGGTTAAATTTTCATACCATGACAACCCTAGTGGTGACGTGTGAGCTGATTCACCTGGTAAATAACTTTTACATTAAATATTTTGTTTTTGCTTTCAAAAGTAAATTAACTAATAACCTGCATTATTGCAGGACACTCAGCAAAATATGGACTCTACACCATGAGGCAGGCACACGTTCATATTCTATAAGAGCACATAAGGTGAGCAACACCACATATTATTGTACTGTCCTGGATTTGTTTTCTTTCTGCATCTCATCATTAGCCTGGCTGATCACCTGATAACTCCTGTCATCTGGTTATGACAGCATGAGGACGTCCTCACACACCTGTAACCTATCAGCTCATCTGGCAGAATAGAGAGAGAAGAGACAACACCACATCTCCTGTTCCTGGAAAGCCTTCAGCCATCCTTCGATGACTGAGAACCTCCATCAGCTCTGTCTCCTGTCTGCCTACAATTATTATAATAAATATTGTGTTTGACAAGTTTTTGACACATTTTTGTTGCATGTTTAACTAGCTCTATTGTGATGAATTAAACTAGCACCTCACTGTTAAAAGCTCGTTTTAATTTCAAGCATGTTTACGTATTTATGGACATGAACAAAAACAGGAAATATATAAATTGAGATTTATTTAATTAATATAACAAATAAGGGGGAAAGAGTCATTGAAAGGCACATTCTTCTGGAAGCTCCTGATCCTGACGACACCAGCAGAGGAGACCACCTGCAGACACCAGAGACCAGCTGCAGACACCAGAGGACCTAGAACCGAGAGAACAGCTGTTATTAGTAAATAAATAAAGAAATCAGGGCAGTTTTAGTGGGCTGAACACATTACAGAATAATTTTCTCATGGGGTATTTTCATAACTTTGTATGCAGCAGACTGTAACTTGAGCCCAGGGCTACCGGAGAGCTGCTATCCAGCATGTTTCAGTGGTTTTCCTGCTTTAACAGGTTAGATTAGCTGTTAAGCAGCTCAGCTATTTGTTGCTGATTAAAACCAGGTGTGCTGAAGCAGATAAACCTCTAACACATGCTGAATACTAGCTCTAGGGCCGTGGAGACAAACCCTGCAGCTAATCTGATGCTATGGCTAATGGCTACTTACATTCAGAGGTGGTTCTGTTGGGTCGGCTCCGCTAGTTTCAGGCAACTCACACGCTCAAAACAATAAGGCTCAGGTCCGCTTGTCTCCAAATAGACTTGGTCCCTTTCTTCTCGAGTGTCTGGGTAAGGAGGGGGAGAAAGGTCCTCCACTTCTAATAACTGCTCAGAGTGAAGGGAGCTAGCATCGTCTAGTTAGCCATCGTCTTCATCACTGCCGCGGCTCCGCCCTCTCGGTCCTCCAGGCAACGCCTACTAATGTTGCATTTTTAAAAATTGATACGTGGGTGGAGAAGGACTCCGAGGCTCAGTTGACCCGCTCTTTAAGAAACCTAGATTCAGAACCAAAGTTAGGGAATGTAACATTTCTGTAAATGGTGTAAGATTGTGGAATGCCATTAACAAGGAATTTAAAGAATCAACTACACTTGCAATATTTAAAAAATGTATAAAATCTAATGTATTTAGTAATTATGAAAAGGAGAATTATAATGTCAAAGATTAGACGTGAAAATATTAGAAAGTGACTGAGGTTACACTGTGTTTGTTTGGCGGATAATTTTATTTCGTAAAAAGGGGCAGAAATCATAAGATTTTTTCTTCTATCTGCTCCTTTTCATTCAAATGTTTTTTTTCAATATGTTAATGTATCCTGTATTTGTTTGTGTTTATTTTATACATTGTGAATGAAATAAAATATTTAAAAAAAAGTGGAGGAGGTGGGTTTTTAGGCGACTCTTAAAAGACTGGCAGAGATGGGGACAGCCTAACTGAGGGTGGCAAGTGGTTCCAGAGTGAGGGTGTTAGGACAGAGAAAGCCCGGTCCTCGCGAGTACGATTCCTAGAACGAGAGACAGCGAGCAGGCCTTGGTCAGAGGAGCGCAGAGCGCGTGATGGGGAATGTCTGTTCAGAAGTGTGGCTAGATAGGGGGGAGCACCACCCTAGAAGAAATTGTAAACAAAGACGAGGAGTTTAAAGTGTGAACGATAACAGACTGGAAGCCAGTGCAGGGAGGCCAGAACCGGACTGATGTGGTCCCGTTTCCTGGTCCCAGTCAGGAACCTGGCTGCGCTGTTCTGCACTACTGTAGACGACGCAGTGATGACTGACACAACCCTGCATATAGAGAGTTGCAGTAATCAAGCCTAGAAATTACAAAAGCATGGAGTCCGGCTCCAGGTGGGCTCTCGACAGCATAGGCTTTATTTTTGCAAGGCGTCTCAGGTGAAAGAAACTGGATCGGATCACAGAGTTGATGTGAGCATCAAATTTAAGTCCAGCGTCAATTTTTACCCCCAGACTGGTGACAACTGGTTTTGAGTAGGAAGGGCCAAGATCAACATAACGACCCACTGCCCTGCTATTGGGGTGAAAAACAATGAGCTCTGTCTTTCCCTCATTCAGATGCAGATAATTGGCCATTAGCCAAGACTTTACCTCGTTAAGACAAGACACAAAGAACTGGATAGAGAGACCTTTCTCCTGACACAACGGAGAGTAAATCTGGCAATCGTCAGCATTGAGATGGAACGCTAGGCCATGTTTACGAAAGATTGACCCCAGAGGAAGCAGATAAATTGCAAATAAAAGAGGACCAAGGATCAATCCCTGCGGAACCCCCCAGCGGAGCCCCTCCCAAGAAGAAAAAACATCACTAAGTTTAACACTAGAACTCCCAGTGACCTGTCATTTGACGGGATCCCCCATCTCTACCAGAGAGTTGTCATTTGACTGGGCTGCTGTTATCTAGGATCCTTAATCACTTGTGGATGGTTTCCTTTGTTCTGTAAAGGTGGCAGTTACTTACATGTGAATTGGTAGTGTAGTGACAATTCCTTCAAAGATTCCAACATTTCAGGTTCCAAAATGTTGCCTGTCTGTGTCTCCAGTCAACCTTTCTTCTTTAGAGGAGTTCTGCTCTCTGACGTGGAACACAACTCATCATCTGAAGACAAATCAAAACTCTCCTGCAAGAGAATGGATTCTTCCTCCCCCAACTGAATCACAAGAACCCATATTTTGCAACCCTCAGTCCGACGCGCGGAGCCGTAGGCGGAAGATCGCCGGCAGGACTAACCAGCCGGCCGGGAGGCAATGCAAGCCCCCTGGCTTTGAAGAGAGAGCGGCGCCTGTTCGGCTCCCTGGAGACGATCTCCCAGCCTACCGGCTCGCACGACGGGGACGGCACCAAAATGTTGGGTATTTTTATTTATTCAATCCAGGCGTACCTCAAAGAAAGTCCACAACACACAAGGGGGTTAGAGATATTATTGTTATTAATACCATTTACCAATAAACACAAATAATCAATAATCAGATTTTGCAAAACCGGAGAGAAAAAAGTAACACCCACACCAGGGAGGTCGGTTTAGTCTCTCAACGAGCCGGGGGCTCATCAAAAGGTTTTATTCACAGATGACATATGACATAGCACACACGCATTAAAAGGTGACCCCACCTCCTCCTTCACAGACAGCAAACTTTCCCAGGTTCAGAGAGCTTGTTGTGATCTTCCATGCATCCAATACTGTATTTACTCATTGACATTAATATTATGGACATCTTCTTTCCATAGGCTCCAATATCAGTTTTTTGAGGCCAAATGGGAGGTGGCCACCACCGCCATTTTGACCGTGTCACAGGTTCCGTCAAGCCCAAACAATTCCAAAAAAGGAAAGAGGCTGGGATCGACTGACGACACCCGGTCGAACTAGCTACAAGCTAACCTGAAGCTAACCCAAAGCTAATGCGGAGGTGGGGGCTAAGCTAACGGAGGTAGCAACCTAGCTACAACCGGAGTTAACTGTGCACAACACCAGAGCTTCTGAGTTAGAGATACGCCGGGCTGACCGCTGGGTAAAACCGGGTGGAACACAGAGGTCTCGGAGACCTCCACAAGCCGGCAGCCGCACAGCACACATAAGCCGCGATCAGACAGATGCGCCGAGCTGCTGGGAGAACCAGCCGTCAGCCCGCGCAGCACACAGAAGCCGCGATCAGACAGATGCGCCGAGCTGCTGGGAGAACCAGCTGTCAGCCCGCCGCAGCACACAGAAGCCGCGATCAGACAGCGATGCGCCAAGCTGCTGGGAGAACCAGCCGTCAGCCCGCGCAGCTAAGGAGCCGCGATCAGACAGAGATGGACCGGGCTGCGGGGAGGGGAGAACCGAGTGGAAAACAGAGGTCTCCCGAGAGCTCCACAAGCCGATAGTCGGAACCCAGCTCCACCAACATGTTATATTTCAACCCATTTTCTAAAGTGCAGCATTATGTTAAATGCACTGGCGTTTACCCTATTACATTTAAATTTCATGGTTAAACAGTACATGTTAAAATCTAAGCTCAGCTCGGCAGTGACCTAAAATACATAAATATAATTTTACTTACCGAAATAAATGAAGTGGAGACTCCTTGGATGCTCTATTAGTGCAATTAATGCCACGTTAAGTCATTTTGTCCAACAATTGCACAAAAAATATCCAAAAAAAGAATACACAAACACAGAGACTCAAAATCCTGGAACAGTTTCCAAGCCAGGCCGAGGCTGTACTGAGGCCTTTCCATGGAGCTAGCTCTGTGGTCACGTGGGTCTGATGCTCATTAATTATACAGAATTTTAGGCTTTTAATACACTTAAACAGAAGAGTGAGAAAAAAATTCACCCCCCTCAGAGTTGTCATGAGTGTAAACTAGATCATTTAAACCAAAAACATGTTTTGGTACCAGGCTGTAAACATGTTTATTTCTGCTGTGAAATTGGCATTTTTAACATGGGAGTCAATGAGGATTTGCTCGCTTCTGACACCAGCCCCCAGTGGATGAGGGTGGAACTGCAATTTTTGGTACTTCCGGGTTGGCCTCAATTTTAAAGCCGCATTGTGGGGGCTTGTATTTACCACATTAAATGTGAATAAGGCTAATGAACTCTGTTTGAAAAAACAATAGTGAAGGTGAAATCAGCTTGTTATCCAACAGGCAGCTAACGATCAGTGTTTTAGTCATTGTTATCAAACCAAGCAGTTATTTGGCAAAGCTCTGGTAGAGCTGGGGGAATCAGAAAATGCTGAGAGTTCTAGTGTTAACACAAAATGTTCTGTTGTGGAGATATGATCTAAACCACTCCAGAACAGACCCTTGGATCCCAACCCATCGTTCCAAGCGATCAAGTAGAATCACGTGGTCAACTGTGTCAAACGCTGCCGTCAGATCTAACAACAGAAGCACCACAGATGTACCCTGATCTAGTGATAGATTGATATCATTTAAGACCCTCAGTAGAGCCGACTCAGTACTATGGCCAGACCTGAACCCTGATTGGAAAACCTCAGACAGATCACAGTCAGCTAAATGTGAGACCAGCTGCTGATAAACGACTTTCTCAAGCAGTTTCAATGTAAAAGGCAGGGTAGAGATAGGCCTGTAATTTTTGATCACAGAGACATCAGCACCAGGTTTCTTCAGGGTCGACCGAACAACTGCTGCTTTGAAAGCAGCTGGGACCACACCTGTGCTGAGGCTCCCATTGGTAATCTGACCAAGTGATGGGCCAAGACACGGAAAGGCAGCCTTCCAGAGATGAGGCGGCAGGACCTCAAGTGGAGAGCCAGATGGCTTCTGCCTTGCAACAAGCTTCCTCAGCTCAGAATAAGAAACGGTCTTGAGGGAGCTCAGGGTGGGTGGTGATGGAGGAACTGGAACAGGGTCAATAGAGTTACCAGAAATAGCTGCTCTAATGCCTGATACTTTATGAACAAAGAATTTGTGAAAATCTTCAGAGTTTCCAGCAGCTGTAGTGGACATGAAGCTGGGCTTCTGATACACCAGAACAGAGTTCAGTGTTTTGTAGAGATTCTTGGGATTCTTAGAGTTTGTTTCGATGATGTCTGCAAAATAGGCAGTTCTAGCAACCCTCACTGCATCCAGATAAGCAACCAGAGATGCTCAGAACAACTCACGCGAGACCTGTAGGCCATCCTTTTTCCACTTTCTCTCAGAGGATCTACACGCCCGCCTACAAGCCCGTGTGACACCAGAGAGCCAAGGCTCCCTCCTAGGCCAAGACTTGCAAAACTTGAGAGGGACAACCACATCCAGGACCTGAATACAAAGTAAATCAAAGTGTTGTGAGTAATGATCAATGTTAGATGGATCTGGGTTAAAGGTCTCTAAGCTTACAGACTTGTGACTTTGCCTCCTGTGTTCGCTGACCACTCTCCAATACTCTGTGATGTTACTTTGCCATGTCCTGTCCCTGTGTGTGAAGCTCCAGCTACTAGGTTCAGAGCCCTGGATGCAGAAACTGTTGCAAAGTTTGTAGACATACAGTCCACAAACCAAGACATACAGGATGCCGGCCCTCGAGGACCAGGGTTCCCCACGCCTGGTTAAAATAGACAGAATCATTACATACAATTTTACGCACGCACACACACGCACACACACACGCACGCACACACACACACACACACACACACACACACACACAACACACACACAAAATACCATACCACTTTATTTGTAGAGCGCTTTTAACACAGCAATACAACCGACCATAGCGCTGCACTTAAAAACAAATAAAAACACAAGCTAAAATAGTCGTGTGTATCATAAGAAGTAAAAAAGATGAAAGAGTTAAAAGAACAACAAACTAAAACCAATAGAACAAGTAAAACCAGAATATAACAAAAACAAATTTAAAATCGAACAAACAAGGTGGAAAAACTAAGGATGAGTTAATGCTTTATGGTTTGGGAGTTGAAGGCCAGGGAGAGGTAGTGGGTTTTCAGGCGTGATTTAAAAACGGCAATAGAGGGTGCTTGCCTAACCTGAAGAGGTAATGAGTTCCACAATTTTGGGGCACAGACAGAAAAAGCCCTTTCCCCATGGGTCTTCAAACGTGCCTCAGGGACAGTTAGGAGGAGCTGATCTTCAGACCTAAGAGCACAAGGAGGGTGGTAGTAGTTAGAATAACATTTAAATCTAGTTCATTCTTTTCATGAAAAGTATTTTAATTAGATAAATCATTGCAAAGCTGTTTTATCTTAGACACAATTTTACACAAACTTTTAATTGTGTTCATCAGCATGCTCAGACACACATCTTAAAAGTGCACTTTTATTTTGAAAGGCACTCAAAAAATGAGGGCACCGTAATTTCTCATGTAGTTGTGCCCATAAAAATCGAAGGAGGGCTGGCTTGACGCTTGTTTCCAAACAGTCATGTCTGCGCTTAAACATTTTTAAAGAGAAGATCTGGACTTCTCCACAGCACAGCCAATGGTTGAAAGTACCAAAGAGGCTCTGAAAGAAATAATAGTCCATCTTGGCTCTGCTGAAAGGGAATTATTTAGCTCTCTTGATGGATACTGAGCATGCGCGAGGAAAACAGGCGCTGAAGTCACTGAAGGAACACGCCAGAGTTATGGAAAGTGGTTAAAAACTGTCAAGATTGATGGAGTAATATTCTGGATAAAACTTTTCGAATCACTTTTATTGTGAAGGACTTCTGGCTGATTATTTGGAGCTTACTGATGACGTTATGTCATTAAAAAGGTCAAGGATAAGGAACGCGAAAAAGAAAACAACGCTGGAGCAAGGTGTGGCTGACGAGCAACAGGTGACAGGAGTTACAATGGCAGGCATGGATGATCAGCAACAGGATTTACCGACGACGATTTTCATGATAATAGGAGAGCAAATAAGAGGAGTAATAGAGACCTTGCAGCCACAACTAGACGATTTAAAGCAAGAGATATTGCAGGCTGGCAAAAAAATGGAAGATGTGGAAGAATCGTGTGAAATGGACAGTCGGATTATAATATTGGAGAAAGAAAACGGACAACAGCAGTTTAGATGAGCAGAGGGCATGAAAGGCCTTGGGCCAATATCTCATGTAGATTAGGCCTCCCGACAGAGACATCACGTCTCCGCTCGAGCAGACGCAGCAGAGCATGACCTTTTAGGTCAAAAACAGGACATTTCGTGATGCTACAATGTATATATATATATATATATATATATATATATATATATATATATATCTTCTCATTCAATATGTTTTCTTTATTTTCATGACCATTTACAAAGGGGCCAACAAGTGCTAAACACCTCTGGGAACTTCTTCAAGACAGTTGGAAAACCATTTCAGGTGACTCCCTCTTGAAGATCATCAAGAGAATGCCAAGAGTGTGCAAAGCAGTAATCAGAGCAAAGGGTGACTATTTTGAAGAAAATAGAATATAAAACATGTTTTCAGGTATTTCGCCGTTGTGGTTAAGTACATAACTCCACATGTATTCATTCATAGTTTTAATGCCTTCAGTTAGAATCGCCCAATGCAAATGGTCATGAAAATAAAGAAAACACGTTGAATGAGAAGCTTTGTCCAAACACGAGATTTTTTTAAATTCACATTAATCTACATTTTGTTTTGTCTTTTATCCTGTCCAGAACTTCCACAGCATCATGTCTGGGAAAACAAGATGGCTCTGACTGACCAGCAGCTCTCTAAACAGAAATGGACCTCCAGTTTGGACCAGAAGGAACCAGAACCTCCACTGATGAAAGAGGAACAACAAGAACTCCTTATCCATCAGCATGAAGGGCAGTTTCTTTTGAAGCAGGAAGTTGTTACCCTCATGGAGCCTTCTCCTTCTGAAGAAACAGACTGTCATGAACCAGAACCAAACAAGAACCAACCCTTGTGTCAGAGTACTACAAAAGCTGAGAACCAAGATCAGGGTGGATGCAGGAAAGAAAACTCAGAATCAAACAGCAATGAAGAACTGATATGTAATAAAATATGCCAATCCAAAGATCACAGAGATAGTGTAGATGATAAAAAACAAAAAAGGCACAAGGGGGCTCACACAAAAAGGCACAAAAGGGCTCACACGGGTAAGAAGCCATATCCATGTAAAACTTGTGGTAAATGTTTTAGTGTCAGTAGTTCCTTGACTACACACATGAGAACTCACACAGGTGAGAAGCCATATTCATGTAAAACTTGTGGTAAATGTTTTAGTGAGGGTGGTTCCTTGACTAAACACATGAGAACTCACACAGGTGAGAAGCCTTATCCATGTATAAGTTGTAGTAAATGTTTCTCACAGAGTGCTGCTTTGATTAATCACATGAGAACTCACACAGGTGAGAAGCCATATCCATGTAATACTTGTGGTAAATGTTTTAGTG